GGACTTTGTCAGCCACTTTCAAAACAGCAACCAGAAAAGCTGAGTGGCTGAAATTTTGCGGGACTGTTCCCGGCATATGTTCATCCTTACAGCCTAAAATTATTGCCCACGTACATCTGCATCTTACACACGGAAGCCGAAAAAAATATGCGTATTTTGTGGCGTGAGAACGGTTTCAAGAACCAGATGAGCTGGAAAGCTGAAATCTCACACTGCTGTTCTGTGAACTAAAAATGTGTGGACTAAAAATTACATCATGTGTGAACTATTACATCATGTGTGAATCCAAGTGTGAACTAAAAATTACCAATTCAGCTATCGCGCATGCTTACATTAGGCTTACAGTCACATCAAATTCTATGTGCTAACTCGATAACTGGCCGCGAAGCAGCAACTGAAAATTTGTCAGAATGCTTGTGTCTGTCTGCGAAATCACGCACTTAAAACGATTTTCGACATGCGTTTTGTATCACGACTTAGAGTACTTCAAAGATATTTGTGGCAAAATAGCTATTTCGCTTATCGGAATAGCTAGGAGGTTGCAACTTTGCAAGCATATTCTGCATTCACGTTTGGTCTAGATACAACTTGTAGACTAAATTCACTGTAAAAAAACACTAGGAATAATTAATTTTACCGCAATTTCAAAAGTGAGTGCATTTTGCGGATTTCTTAATCCTTCTGTTCCGATATTCTGTATGATTTCAAATTTGCATTTTTTGATGAAGAACCGCTTGCTGAGAAGACGACCAGCTTTCACTCAAAATGTCCGTATTGAAGTTCATGCGGCCCCATGATGCAGCAATATTATCTCAGCCGACCCCCTTTGCGCTCTGCACGCAGGAAGAGCCAAAACATAGGTTCATGCGTTAAAGCACAGCGCAGGGGTTAATCATGCTGTTAACGATCTGATTGCTGCAAATTTAGTGCAAAACGTCTAATTATACCGATAAGCCTAGTGCATGGCAACCTGAGGTTGCTGACTGTTGCAGAGCTCGAGCATTAGACCGCACTGCAAAAAGCATTAATAAAGAAGATTAGGGTTTTGGGCACGCGAACTAAAAAGTTAACTCAGAAGGTTGGGATTAAGTAAAAGGGACAGCAGACTGCCTCGACTAAGGTGGAGTACCAACTGCCTGAAGGCATGTGCCGTTCCTAATTAATATTTCTTATACTGTTTTGAATTATCAGATGTGGAGAGGACGCTGCCTGAGGGCACGACGGTGAGGGCTGCCTGATGCGATGATTTTGAAATATTTTACACTGCTCAGGAAATCAATAAAGATTTTGAAGTTCGGCTGTCCCTGTATCTGAGGAAAAATTTGTATTCTTAGTTAATGGAAGAAGTTTAGCAAGCAAAAAGAAATTTTTATGTTAACACGAATTCACATGCTCTGAACGTATAATGACCCAGGAAGGGAAATTTAAGTGGAGGAAACGTTTTTCGAGGTAAATTTTTTATTCTTTATGTTGTCTCAGTGGACTTGAACTAAGTTTAAAACTGGCAGTCTTTTTGATAATATGCTTCCAAAGAAATGATTTTTTTCTAGACCGATTACTTTTTACGCGTCTTTACACATTTATACAAGTGCAAAAATGCATATTGGCACTAATTTCGTGTGTGTGTGTGTGTGTTCGAATTTTTTTTTTTTCCACTCCCTTTTAACACTAGAACCAGAGAAATCAGGAAAGTGAAAATTCTGGAGCATACATTCAGTTGATATGTGACGCCCGCGTTTTTATTATTACTATTCACATACAGTTGTTTTTCAGATACAAGGTTTAAAAGAGAAAACGTAAATTTCTTGACAGGAGAGCGATTTCTTGCAGTGGATAAGGTAGAAGGTTAAAATTTCACAGGGATGTCCTATGTCCCTTGGCTTTAACGCATGTACACGTCACGTGTGCAGGCACGCCCAATTTGGGGTTTCGTAATCGCTGGCAAAACGCTAATTCGGGAACTAAGTTAATTGGAGAGCTTTCACTTTATGTGAGTATTTATTTCCCGTAGTTGGGTACATAGACATAAAATAAGCTTCGGCGTGTGCCTGTATTGTATGTTCAAGTACGTCAAATTATATTTAACGAAAAGCGATTTCGTCAAACAGTCAAGCTAGAGAGCTGAAAGGCGCACCAAATTTTCTAACTGTAAAACCATAGTCTTTCTCCCCAGCACAGGCAATCTCTGTACAGGATGGAACTGTGCAAAAATGTTTGATTGTACTAGCAAGACTGCTGCTTTGCTACTCTGGTTAATACCATATTTGTTGCAGCACAAGAGTTTCTGCTTGCGATAGTAGTTCTTTTAATAGAGGAAGAAACAAGCTTAGCCAAAAATGTATCAATGTTGATACACAAAATGTTGATACACACTGAGATGTATCAAAAGCAATTCATTCTTTATAAAAATTCCTACTCTATCGCAATCTTGAGCACTTTCAGTGCAACAAGTCAAGGGACATTAAAACAAACACTAGACAGTTTTTTTCAAATGACAAAAAGAGGTTTTAACTGGTAAGAGTCTACGGATCACATGTGGTTCTGAAGACGACCACACGCGCTAAGCGCTCCGTGATGGCATCCAAACTCTGAAGCAGCCTTGAAGCCGGCATATCTCCACGATGTTGTGGCAAATTAACCAGCACCAGATCAGCATTTGATGACTCACCGCGTATCAAGTTATTTAGTGCAAGAGGTGGCTCGTTCTAAAATACAAATACTATTAATAAAAGCATGCGATAATAAAAGCGCGTTACTCGAAAACTAGATGTCAAAATCGCTGAGTTAAAGTGAGAAAAGCTAAAAGTCAAAGTCCTCTTTGTAACCACCCACTGACGAAATTGCTGATGGTTTCTATTTAAAAGCCAGCTGACGGAGTCTTCATGACACCTACCAGTATTAATTTACCGCTGAAGCGAATGAAGAGTCATAGAACTGATTGTCTATTAGGCAGTGCCGAACCTTTGACCTCAGACATAAGCAGAGCCATTCACTGCCCAGTATTTACTGGCAAGATTAGAACCCAGGCTGGAACGCACCAGGCGAGCCGGTGCGATCATGCGTTTTTGCATCAGACTTTGAGGT